CTATGGTTGTATGTGTCCATTCTGTTATACTGTGATTGTATGTGTCCATTCTGTTATACTGTGGGTGTATGTGTCCATTCTGTTATACTGTGATTGTATGTGTCCATTCTGTTATACTGTGGGTGTATGTGTCCATTCTGTTATACTGTGATTGTATGTGTCCATTCTGTTATACTGTGGGTGTATGTGTCCATTCTGTTATACTGTGATTGTATGTGTCCATTCTGTTATACTGTGATTGTATGTGTCCATTCTGTTGTACTGTGGTTGTATGTGTCCATTCTGTTAAACTGTAGTTGTATGTGTCCATTCTGTTATACTGGAGTTGTATGTGTCCATTCTGTTATACTGTGATTGTATGTGTCCATTCTGTTATACTGTGGTTGTATATATATGTGTCCATTCTGTTATACTGTGGTTGTATATATATGTGTCCATTCTGTTATTCTGTGGTTGTATGTGTCCATTCTGTGATACTGTAGTTGTATGTGTCCATTCTGTTATTCTGTAGTTGTATGTGTCCATTCTGTTATATTGTGGTTGTATGTGTCCATTCTGTTATACTGTAGATGTATGTGTCCATTCTGTTATACTGTGGTTTTATGTGTCCATTCTGTTATACTGTGGTTGTGTGTCCATTCTGTTATACTGTAGTTGTATGTGTCCGTTCTGTTACACTGTAGTTTTTATCATAAAGATGTCTAGGTAACTAGTACAGCGTCCATTCTGTTATACTGTGGTTGTATGTTCTGTTATACTGTAGTTGTATGTGTCCATTCTGTTACACTGTAGTTGTATGTGTCCATTCTGTTATCCTGTGGTTGTATGTGTCCATTCTGTTATACTGTGATTGTATGTGTCCATTCTGTTATACTGTGATTGTATGTGTCCATTCTGTTATACTGTGATTGTATGTGTCCATTCTGTTATACTGGAGTTGTATGTGTCCATTCTGTTATACTGTGATTGTATGTGTCCATTCTGTTATACTGTGGTTGTATATATATGTGTCCATTCTGTTATTCTGTGGTTGTATGTGTCCATTCTGTGATACTGTAGTTGTATGTGTCCATTCTGTTACACTGTAATTTTTATCGTAAAGATGTCTAGGTAACTAGTACAGCAGGCCATTGTCTATGATTTATTGCTGTCCATCACGTTTCCTGTTTGTACGGTAGTTGTATGTGTCCATTCTGTTATACTGTAGTTGTATGTGTTTATTCTGTTATACTGTGGTTGTATGTGTCCATTCTGTTACACTGTAATTTTTATCATAAAGATGTCTAGGTAACTAGTACAGCAGGCCATTGTCTATGATTTATTGCTGTCCATCACGTTTCCTGTTTGTACGCCTGTATCTCACCTGAAACTGGTGTACCTGTAATTGGTGAAATGTGCCAGGCTTTGTAACTTCCTTCAAATAGTGTGTGTTATGTTACACATGAGATGCCTTTAAAAATCATTATAGAAGAATTATGAGAGAATCCAGTACATTATCAGATATCTGTATTACTCTTCCTGTATTACACAACTGAACTCTACCTGTTCATTTGTCAGGTATGTACAGTTTATATACCTGTATTTATTATGAAATTATCTGTAATCAGTACAATCATCAGGTACTTGAAGATTGTTAGACTACTATTTTAGAGTACCAATCGATTGTTTGAAATTGTTCATTAGGCCTTCTCAATCTTTTCAGAACCATTAGATGGTACATATTACAGAATCAGATGATGAGATATATGTTACCTGTTATTACCTGTGCCATAGATATATAATTGAACAGGTGGGGGTCTGCTGTAGAGGAATTAAGCTTCTTGTTCCATGAATACTGTACTGTGATAATCAAGGTTTGGACTACAGGTGAAGAAGTATGTGGTACGGAGGCTGGTGTGTAGGGACATGAGGCTGGTGTGTAGGGACGCTGGTCGACAGGGCAATGATCTCTGACCTCATTACCGACTTGATCTACATCTCACTACATCCTTTGTACTTGTTTAATTACTTTTCATTACCAGAATGTTATCCTCCGAGGTGGGGGCCAAGGTTGTGATTTAGGCTTGTTGCCTTTCCTCTCTGTAGGTAGCCATGATCCTACTTAGTACGTGGTAAGAAAGGATCCTTCATATTACCGTTGAAATAACTAACATCTCTAGGATTTGCCGGAGTGTAGTACATGTATTTGACAAGGCAAATTACTTTAAATTATGTTCCAAAAGAAGGTAAATCTTGGGTATGTTTAGAAGTTAAAAAGTGAATGTAAAGTTAGACTTGGCAGAGCTAGAGGAGAATGTTGATGGCCCGGGTCAGAGAGATAGATATATCAGCCAGGTAATACATGTAACAAGCTTCTGTCACAACAGTTTAAAAAGTGAAGACTTTATAAATGATTTGGCTGAAAAAAATATGCACCATCATTGTAATGTTTGTCATGAATTTGTGATCTCATTGTATTATTCCTTCTGATGTCTTCAAATAAGATCTCGATTCAGATCTTCACTTGTCTGAGGGAATCAAGATATTCAATTCCTCATTTAAGAGACCACCTGTGTTAAGAGGCCACTTCAAGTGTTCTCCAAATGTAGTGAATTCATTATGAACTGAACCTGTATTTAGAGGACACCTGCATTTAGAGAGCACTTATGGATTTCCCGAGGCTGGTCTGTTATTACAGGTTTGACAATGGTACAAATAGCCTGCTTATATTTCATATTATCTCATTGTCTCATTCTGTAGGAGTAATTATAACACTTACACTGGACCAGGATTGATTTTATATGACACCCCGATCATGTGTAATGGGGTCAAATAGAAATAAAGTGTTAAAAGCCAAGGAATCTCTTGCCACATCAATTCCCCACCCCACATGTTAGGCTGACTGAGCTGGCCGATGTGCACTGGGATCCTGTCATCGAAGTCTGTTGGGTCCTGCTGGGGAGGCTGAAGGTATTAAGGATTGCCTTCTTATCAAATCCCAAGTCTGCTTTGTCTCGCATATCTACATCAACAGTGACACAGAATTCCGTGCCTGACTCTGACGGCTTCCTTCGACTTCCGTTTAGAAGCGACAATTCAAAGATCTTTCCTGATATGTACGACAGGCCAATAGACGTAGGAGTTATGTTTTTTGTAATTTTTTTCTGTAAAATCGGCCTTTATTTTTTATTTGCTTTCACTAGCTAATGCTTATAGCTGACATGAAGCAACTCATTATTGATTTTGTAGTTTTGTGAATGGACACGGGCTTAGAAAAGCTTGGCAGAGATTCCATTTGCCCATCAGCGAGTCTAAGCTTACTTCTGTAGGTCAAACTCGACTGCCACCAATGTTGTCATTATCTCAGTGCATTGTGGATCTTCGTATACATATACCCAAAGTCAGTACCACCAGTGTTATGCTGTAATCACACATCCATGAGGTCTAGATTACAGATGTCCCTGTATGTCTTGCACACTAAATTTCTGTTTCTGTTATTTACTTATAGCTGTGAGGAAGATGATTTACAGTTCACTCATAGTGTGTGTATGATATGCATGCATAATTGTTTGTGTGACACTTAAATTATGTGAAGACAAAAAATCACAAAAGATGAAAATAATTCACTTCACATTAACAATTACCATAGTAACCCCAACAAGCACTGCCAAGAACAAGAAAGCATCATACCTTTGTACTAGCGTGCTGTTATTTCATTTGTCATATTTCATATAGATTGAACTAAGGCTCACAGATGGACTCGCCCACTGGTTTTCCCTGACCTCTACACCTGACCTCACCCCTTGTCCTTACCCACTGACCCACTCCGAACTTCCTAACCTTGCAGTGGGTCAGTAACAGACAAGACAACTAATAGAAATTACACACATTTTTCTGCTGTAAACAAAGCGATACTTTTGCCTCCTGAGAAGGAATTGTCACATGAACCTCTGTAGCATGTTATACCTGTGGAGAAATGATTTCTTATGTCTCTTGGCGTTCTTATTACCATGTTTACATGTTAGAACCCATGTGTGTTGTACCAGCGCCAGATATTTGTGAAATCTTTAGACAGCTCTGGAACATTATTGGTTGCAAGTAAACGTCATGCCCAGAATCTGTCAGTTAGATAGACTAGCTTTGTATATTCCACAAATTTATCATAATAGTTGCCAAATATTATTATTACTTTTCTTGAGAGATAAAAAAAAAAGTGCAATAATGAAATACTTTTATTTCTTTAAATCTTTTAATTTTGGTGATTATGTAATTCTTACATTCTGTATAAACCACCTTTTGACAAGGGATTTAATTTTCAAGAAAAAAATAAAAGATGTTATACTGCCTTGATCAACTGTCTCTGACATGAATGAATCAAAATAGTGATAGGTAGATATCTAAGTGATGGTTACTGGGAGGTACCCTAGTGATGGTTACTGGGAGGTATCTTAGTGATGGTTACTGGGAGGTACCCTAGTGATGGTTACTGGGAGGTACCCTAGTGATGGTTACTGGGAGGTACCCTAGTGATGGTTACTGGGAGGTACCCTAGTGATGGTTACTGGGAGGTACCCTAGTGATGGTTACTGGGAGGTACCCTAGTGATGGTTACTGGGAGGTACCCTAGTGATGGTTACTGGGAGGTACCCTAGTGATGGTTACTGGGAGGTACCCTAGTGATGGTTACTGGGAGGTACCCTAGTGATGGTTACTGGGAGGTACCCTAGTGATGGTTACTGGGAGGTACCCTAGTGATGGTTACTGGGAGGTACCCTAGTGATGGTTACTGGGAGGTACCCTAGTGATGGTTACTGGGAGGTACCCTAGTGATGGTTACTGGGAGGTACCCTAGTGATGTTTTACTGGGAGGTACCCTAGTGATGGTTACTGGGAGGTACCCTAGTGATGGTTACTGGGAGATACCCTATGGATTGTGGCTTTGAGATGTAGCCTGTGGCTGCCCTGGCAGAGATAGCTAGATAAGACTTGTTGTCTATGGTAATTAGAGGGGACTGTTCCACTCCTCCCCAGTTCCTGCCTGTGTGATGCCAGGCTGAGGAATTTCCATGGCGCCCCCAACATTAGCTAGAGCATGATGTAGAACAGCTCTGGGGGGTTACTGCTAACAAATCTCACAGCCCCAATCCTGCTGCTCTTCCTCAATCTTTACATCAGCTTAAATCTAACATTACATTCAACAACGCCATCCTCTGTTTTGATGCACATAGTCACATGAAGGCTACTGTTGTGGTACTGATTCTCAGTGAAAATTCTGCTGTTACTCTCCTGAGGAGCAGATACTTTCCAAATTTTGTGATTTGTGGTTGTAATCCAATGGAATCGGGGTAGGAAAAGAGTTTGGCAATCCAAGTGCGTAGTTTTTCCTTTACGCAGTCAGTTTATGCTGTGTAACTTCTCACAGACCAAACTTTTCCTCACAGAGAATACAATTCTGACACAATTCAGCATAAGAAACTGTCCGCAGCAAGTGTTTTAGATGAGACACATGTTTTGAACAATTTGGATATTTAATTCCTTCGAAGTTTGTGAACTAGTAAAGTTGATCATCTTGTGAGGAGGAGGAGGAAGAAGAGGAGGAACAGTGGTGGTTTACCTGTAGTTACCTGTACTAACAACCATGTTGCCTGGTGGTGAGCCGTTGCTTCACTGCCTTAGTGAGTCTCTTTATGTCAGCCAAAGCTTTTATATAGACACAAATAGAAAGAGAATAGATATATATTTATCTTAATGCTATTTTGGTATAGTAGTAAGCGATTTTTGTTACAGAGATCAAGCTTTATTTTTGGATCTCCGTGGGAGTATATTTAGCCATGGCTGCGAGCATATTTAGCCCATACTACTCAGATAGAGGTAATTCTGGTACATAAATAACCATAGATTATATGTGTATATTTACTGCCTTCATACTACTACTTGGCACACATATTTTGTTTACATTTGTTATTTGGTGGGACAAATAGCTGTAGAAATAGTTTAACTCAATTTAATAAATGAATTTGACTTGGAAGGAGTGTTAAGAATGTATATTTTGTAATGTCTTACAATACATTAGATATAAGTTATGGTCATGTTAACACTGCTTCACATAGATCAATGGTCTAGACTTTTATACCTATTTACTGTTAATATGCAGTCTGACTCACCAACACAACTCCAAACAGTGAGTATATCAAAATACAATATTGATCATAAAAAAATACAATACTTAGTACTTCCTAGCACTGACATCGTGGTGCATTGCAATGGTCCCAGTAAGTATTAGGTAATGCTTTTAATGGCCCAGTAAGTATTAGGTAATGTTTTTAATGGTCCCAGTGAGTATTAGGTAATGTTTTTGATGGTTCCAGTAAGTATAAGTATTTGTAATGTTTTTGGTGGTCCAAAAATTATTTCTATGATGCCAATATGAGATGAGAAAAAAACCCTAGAAATTAGATAAAATAATTTGTTTGGTCAGATCATTTAAAATTTTAAAAAATATACAAAACTATAGATAGTAGTTTGATTAACTGAAAATGTGCCTTTACTTTAGCATGTATGGGTCTCAAAAAATGTTCTCCTGTCTATAATATTCAGTTTACTTTTCAAAGAAATTAACTTTTTTGGAAATTAACTTATTTCGGGATCTAAAGTTTCCATAAGAAGATATTTTAAGATTTAAGTTAGTTTAAGCTGTGTAGTATATCTGCACTGTGACATGTAAACGTTAAATTAGGATCCACTTGGTGAGCATTATCAGCAGACTGTTTGCTGGAAATTACAGGATAATCCGTCTTGATCATTGTGCCATGCCTTATCACAAGTAGGTGTTGTCTGACGTACTAAAGTTTGACGACTTTTTCTTACTTGTATATATGAGTGTTGAAGCTGACAATAATTGGTTACCTGTCTAAGGTATCTATTGATCTGTAGCATGCATTCATGTGTTAATTAGTTTCTGGTGTGTAGGTCTTGTACACTCATGCACCACGTTCAGGCTAACTTTAAGTGTTTCATGTTTTTAAACGGACAATAAAATACAGGTATAGAAAAATTGAGCTTCTTATAGGTAAGTAAATATCAGTTTCCGTATGTTGACTCTTCTCCATAGGAGTGCATTAACATGCTGAGTTGTACCAACAAAGGGATTTCAAGTATGTTAACATTGAAAGCCAAATCATTCAGTAGTAAGTGTAATGTGTAAATGTAGCGGTGACAATGTGACCAGTCTATAAGGCATTGTAACCAGCCTGAGAACTACGCCATCTACAGCTGTATTGTTTAACATCTGTAGAGAAGTCAGTCTGAAGATGGAGGCAGGTGGATGATTGTAATTATGGGGTGCTATTTAGCAGGACTGGTGTGATTGTAATTATGGAGTGCTATTTAGCAGGACTGGTGTGATTGTAGTAATGTAGCACTATTTAGCAGGACTGGTGTGATGGTAGTAATGTACCACTATTTAGTAGGACTGGTGTGATTGTAGTAATGTACCACTATTTAGCAGGACTGGGGTGATTGTAGTAATGTAGCACTATTTAGCAGGATGGGTGAGGTATTGTAGTAATGTAGCACTATTTAGCAGGACTGGTATGATTGTAGTAATGTAGCACTATTTAGCAGGATGGGTGAGATATTGTAGTAATGTAGCACTATTTAGTAGGACTGGTGTGATTGTAGTAATGTACCACTCTTTAGCAGGACTGGTGTGATATTGTAGTAATGTATCACTCTTTAGCAGGACTGGTGTGATTGTAGTAATGTAGCGCTATTTAGCAGGACTGGTGTGATTGTAGTAATGTATCACTCTTTAGCAGGACTGGTGTGATTGTAGTAATGTACCACTCTTTAGCAGGACGGGTGTGATTGTAGTAATGTAGCACTATTTAGCAGGATGGGTGAGATATTGTAGTAATGTAGCACTATTTAGTAGGACTGGTGTGATTGTAGTACTGTACCACTATTTAGTAGGACTGGTGTGATATTGTAGTAATGTACCACTATTTAGCAGGACTGGTGTGATTGTAGTATTGTACCACTATTTAGTAGGACTGGTGTGATTGTAGTACTGTACCACTATTTAGTAGGACTGGTGTGATATTGTAGTAATGTACCACTATTTAGCAGGACTGGTGTGATATTGTAGAAATGTAGCACTATTTAGCAGGCCTGGTGTGATTGTAGTAATGTAGCACTATTTAGCAGGATGGGTGAGATATTGCAGTAATGTAGCACTATTTAGCAGGACTGGTGTGATCGTAATAATGTAGCACTATTTAACAGGACTGGTGTGATTGTAGTAATGTACCACTATTTAGCAGGACTGGGGTGATTGTAGTAATGTACCACTATTTAGCAGGACTGGGGTGATTGTAGTAATGTAGCACTATTTAGCAGGATGGGTGAGATATTGCAGTAATGTAGCACTATTTAGCAGGACTGGTGTGATCTTGTAGTAATGTAGCACTATTTAGCAGGACTGGTATATTGTAGTAATGTAGCACTATTTAGCAGGACTGGTATGATTGTAGTAATGTAGCACTATTTAGCAGGCCCGGTATGATTGTAGTAATGTAGCACTATTTAGCAGGATGGGTGAGATATTGTAGTAATGTAGCACTATTTAGTAGGACTGGTGTGATTGTAGTAATGTACCACTATTTAGTAGGACTGGTGTAATTGTAGTAATGTAGCACTATTTAGCAGGACTGGTGTGATATTGTAGTAATGTACCACTATTTAGCAGGACTGGTGTGATATTGTAGAAATGTACCACTATTTAGCAGGACTGGTGTGATATTGTAGAAATGTAGCACTATTTAGCAGGACTGGTGTGATCGTAATAATGTAGCACTATTTAACAGGACTGGTGTGATTGTAGTAATGTACCACTATTTAGTAGGACTGGTGTAATTGTAGTAATGTAGCACTATTTAGCAGGACTGGTATGATTGTAGTAATGTAGCACTATTTAGCAGGATGGGTGAGATATTGTAGTAATGTAGCACTATTTAGTAGGACTGGTGTGATTGTAGTAATGTACCACTATTTAGTAGGACTGGTGTGATATTGTAGTAATGTACCACTATTTAGCAGGACTGGGGTGATTGTAGTAATGTAGCACTATTTAGCAGGATGGGTGAGATATTGCAGTAATGTAGCACTATTTAGCAGGACTGGTGTGATTGTAGTAATGTAGCACTCTTTAGCAGGACTGGTGTGATTGTAGTAATGTACCACTCTTTAGCAGGACTGGTGTGATTGTAGTAATGTAGCGCTATTTAGCAGGACTGGTGTGATTGTAGTAATGTACCACTCTTTAGCAGGACTGGTGTGATATTGTAGTAATGTACCACTATTTAGCAGGACTGGGGTGATTGTAGTAATGTAGCACTATTTAGCAGGATGGGTGAGATATTGCAGTAATGTAGCACTATTTAGCAGGACTGGTGTGATCGTAATAATGTAGCACTATTTAACAGGACTGGTGTGATTGTAGTAATGTACCACTATTTAGCAGGACTGGGGTGATTGTAGTAATGTAGCACTATTTAGCAGGCCCGGTATGATTGTAGTAATGTAGCACTATTTAGCAGGATGGGTGAGATATTGTAGGAATGTAGCACTATTTAGCAGGACTGGTGTGATATTGTAGAAATGTAGCACTATTTAGCAGGCCTGGTGTGATTGTAGTAATGTAGCACTATTTAGCAGGATGGGTGAGATATTGTAGGAATGTAGCACTATTTAGCAGGACTGGTGTGATCGTAATAATGTAGCACTATTTAACAGGACTGGTGTGATTGTAGTAATGTACCACTCTTTAGCAGTGAGTTTTATTTTTTTTGTTAGTGCTTGTTTTAATGCATTGTTATTAAATTAAATGACAATCTTTTGATGAGAGATCTACATGTCACTTCAGGCAGGCGCTCCCAGACAGAGATTTATAGCCTCATAAAGAACATTAACTTTCAAAATATTTAGATTTAAATATTTGAGTGTGTGTTTGTTTAAATGTGATTGTTGACCTTTACTGGCTGATCGCTGCTAGGTTGTGAGTTTGTCAAATTCTTATAAGTATATACAGGAGTCAGGGTCACCCAGGGCGAGAAACTATTTTTGGGAAGCTCACGTCTAAGTTTAGCAACAGCCTTGTCTATATGGGGAGGCTCTGTTCGTATTTACTCAGTCAAGGGGAACTGCGCTGTGTACAGAAAGATATATATCACATATAAACTATGTAGCCTCATTGTTTTGTGGCTGATTGTTAACGTAGAGATTTCAAAGGAGTAGTCCACTGTCAGACACACATACAAGCTTTGATTGATCGACATTTACTGTCATACAGCCAGAATTATATTATATCTTTGTACTGTTCGTGCCATACAATAACCCAAAATTTAAAACGTTATCAAATATTATACCATAGGCCAAATTATGACGCAAACTGTTTTCCTATAGAAAAAAAGAATGATAAGAAATGACATATTTTGACGTCATAGGAAAATTGCTTAAAAGAAAGATTTGTATAATTTCGTTTTGGCCAGCCTGCCTTGGCAATCAATACCTATATTATTCAGGCAGGATATACAGCAGTGTTTTGTGGAAGACCCAACACAAGTTGTACTGAGACACATACAAGCTGTACTGAGACCCATACGAGCTGTACTGATCG